TCATTGTGGTGGAAATAATGTATAGTTAATTATTTATATGAGGACCGCACGAATTGTTCATGTAGTGCTGAATGCTTCCGGGTTTACCCGAAAGACTGTTTTTGGCGTTTCATGAACAAGTGTGATCGAACTGATTGTGAACCACGCGTAACCAGCGCGGTTCTCATATAAATAATTACCATAATTTATAATAATGAAGAACATAATAAATGCGTGAGTCATGAATCGATTAAATATAAAATCATACCAGAGCCTTGTTGTATATTGCAAAGAAACGTTTTGTTATACTACGTCATAATGCCATTGTTAAATATATATTTGCGTAAATTAATAATAGATAAATTTAACTGGCAGTATTTATTTATTTAAAATTCATATCAGTACCATATAGTAAATTGTAAAGAAACTTTTACGTTCATTTCTCAAATAGTATAAAATCATAGTTCATCAGGAGATGCAATAAACTTCTTTTATAAGGAATAACTTAAACAGTCGTAGCGAAGTTGACTGGTTTGGAGCTGAGACCATAGTGAGGGAGAAGTACCATGTTCGAACTTGCTCACACTGGTAGAGTGTAAAGTTCAAAGTAGTGAGTCAACATGAAAATAAAATTATTTCATCGTGTACATTATAATTTATAATTATACACAAGAAAAGAGTGCGTAGATTAATAATAGATTAATTTAACTGACAGTATTTATTTATTTAAAATTCCATACCAGTATCTTATTAAAAATTGTAAAATTATTTCTGTGTTCGTTTCTCAGATAGTTTAAAATGGCAATTCATTAGGTGATGTAATGAACTTATCTTATAAGAAACAATTTTAATAATCTTTGCGAAGTGCATCAGTACGAAGCTAGGACTACACTGAGAGTGTAGTACACTGATGGAACTTGCATAGACAGGCGAAGTATTAAGTTCAAAGTTGTGGGTTCATATAAAAATACTATGATTTTGTGGCGTGCATTTAATTTATAATTTTAAAAAATATCGATTATAAAAATAATTTAATACAAATTGTCTTTAACTTAAGCAAGCAATAAAAAATGAACCGATTATCTGGTTCATAAAATAAATTGTTTATTTCCGCCTAGGAATAATTTTAGTTTTTGCACTTATTACCTAATATTCTAAATAAACATCATTTTTTAAACTTTTATCTACATGCAAGTATGAACGTACATTACGAGTCAATTAATTTAAGACTCGGTATTATTTATTTTAAAAGAATTTGAGAGTTAAATAAGAGGGATCTGACCACAGCTGTCATTTAATATGCAAGATCCAGTGACGCTCTGGAGAGAGTAGCGCGGGGATCTCTTAGAGTCCTGCTTTTCCTTCTATAGTTGATAGGAGAAGCCTGGCTTGGGGTTCCCTACCTGATTGTATATATTTTATATAGATATGACTGTGTTTTTATGTTTTTAATTTACTAATCTTTAGGTTATTTTATTTTTTATTGTACGTAGTTTTTTTATTATTATTTGGTTATTATTTTACTTTTGTTAATTTTATATTTTCAGTATATATGGTGTGAATGTGTTCATTGTCCATTGTTCATTATTGTCCACGAAACAGATTATTATATGTCTAAATAAATTTAAAAAAATATATGCAAGATAAAAAATCCCGCTAGAAATAAAATAGATTTTTTTTAATGAAACCAAATAAGAAAGACATAAGTTTAAAGTTAAACAAAATTTTATAATTCAATTATTTTATATTATATGTGACAATACCAAAACAGAATTATCTTGAATCAAATCGAACACAGGCACATAAAGTTGCTTTTCAGCACTTTTGAATACTTTTTCGATTTAATTCATCAATATAAAAAAAATGAACTCGATGAATAAGTCAAAGGATAATAATCTGAAATGAGGCCGATATCGTTACTTTTAACTAAAAATTTGACTATTTGTTTAAAAAGTGGCTATTTGTTAAAAAGATAGCTTAAGAAGAAAGGAAATTATGGAATCCACATCAAATACTTTTGAAACAACTAAACTAATATCTTGATAATTGTCTTTAATTTCATAAGTTGAAACATTATTGATTTTTTTTTTAAACTCTTCCTCAATCTAATGCGTCAATTTATATTTTAAAGCGTTTAAAATAATTTCTTTTCTATACATAGAGTAAAACGGAATTGGCACTACAAAAGTTATTGATGTTTATGTAAGTAAGAGATACAAACAAAACGAAAGTTATACAAAAGTATTGTTGCCCAAAATAGGTCTTGGTCATGCACTTTGCAAGAGCAAAGCCGCCTAACTGTTGCAAGACCAAGACCAAGAGTGTTAAAAACAAATCGATTTTTTGAACAAAAATTAACCCAAAATAGTTACTAATACCTGAAAATTTTAGTTTACTATATGTAAATAATTGATATAACCAATATACTTTTGCATTTAGCTCTTATAATTTTTCATACGGGCTTAGTTAGGTTTCTTCTATATATAAAATTTCAGTCATGTCTCTATAGTAACAAGCTAATAGGCAACTGCGAGACTCTTGCGTAAGACTAAGTCCAAGACCAAGACGGAGTTTGCAAGACCAAGATCCGTCTCTGTCTTGCATTTGGGATACACTATACAAAAGTAATATGTAAAACTTTTTTTTCATAAATTAATTTAAAGTTTTTAGGATAATATTTTTTTTAGTACTTTTCATTTTGTTTATAACTTTATGAGATTTTTCTTGAAACTTTTGGCATATTATTTAGCCTGGCTCTCAATTCTCAATGTTTGCCATATTACTTATATTGTTTGTATTTTTTCGATTAATTCCTCTTTTCTAATTACACCGACGTATAAGCACATCTTTGGAGCCAATTTTTATAAAAATATTTACTTATTTATTTATTTTTACTTCTGCCCCGCTATATAGATTGTCTGGAAGAGTCAACTGCGGCGCTTAAGTTATAAGTCTGAGAAACGTCGGTTTCGTACTTAGCAATCGTAGGAAATCAATATTTGCAGAAATCTTCCCCTCCGTAGATGAGATAAGGCCACCCCTAAAGCACCGCCATTTCCCCAAGAACTTCCACCACGTAGCAGACGGACTGGGGAGGATTTTTTGCAGGCCGACGTCGGGGGTTCGTGGTTCAGACGATATACCAGGAAGTTCAGGCCTAGTCAGCACAAATTTGGGAGGGGGCAGAAAAAAATACGAAGGAGTGTTCATATTTCTTCAGAAAATCAACCGTGATGGGCTTGAGACTAATTTACGATCTATGGATATGGGAGAACGCAAAGCCAGCACATAGGTTATTTAGTATCTATGATTTAACCATGAACGCTGCCTAACACTGCTTAAATCACAAAAAATTGAGTTTCAATTTAAAGTTGTTTATTTTTATAAATATTTTTTAACAACATGAAAAGTGTTGGTTTCAGTACTTGATGAGGATCTATTTTTTAAGTTCAAGGCAGTCTTACAAAATTCTGCCCAAAACATGATTCAGGTTAGTTTTCAAAATTATTGAAATAGAATACTAATACTAACAAATGTATATATTCACATTTTTAATTTCATAGAACAATCGTATTTATCCTAGCTAATTCCAGTAACGGTTTGGATCTAGTTTTAAATTGTATTGCTACTACCCTTATCACTAATACATATCAATAGCGTATCAAGAATATGATTTATTTTTTCTAAAACCGTAATTAATCTGGAAGAAAAATAAATTAACTATATGATTTGATATTTACTAATCATTGAAAAATTGCCAAAAATAAAAATTGTAATTACAGGAACAATGTTGCTTTTAGGGATCTATTTTTACTTTCCTACCTATACTAGGTAAATGGAAAGTATTGCAATCCGCAAAATTCCCGATTTGCGGTTTTCGACGTATCTATAAGTTTCAGAGCGCCCCGAGTCCGAAAAACGTATTTTCTGCCATTGGTTTGTCTGTCTGTCAGGTGATATAATTCCCTACAAAAATATATCAAAATCGTTCATTTCGAACAACTATTAACGAAGTTACAGCTGATGGATTTCGTACGATATATAACGAGTTCAAATCCCGGTGCCAGAAAGGGTTGAAAGAGAGAGAAAAGATAAAATTAAGTGTAAAAAAATTTGGTTACTGCATCACACAAGTTTAAGTTTCAATTTCCCCTCTATTTTTTTCAGAAATTATTGTTTGAATGAAAAAAGTTTTTGATTAGCTATTTTAGAGAGAATTGAAATTTTTAAGGTGATCGTCCACAAGCCAGTTTTCATTTCTTTAATTTATCAAAGAAATCCTACTCAAATCTTTTCTTTAATCGATTTTCAGGAAATTAAATCTAATTCATGTTTTATGTATTTTTTATTTGTATTTTTTAGCTGTAGTTATGTATGTTATGTATGCCTACGTAGTAGTTGATCCAATAGTAATATAGGGCGAAAATGACCCAGATGGTTGAAGAGCCAAAAACATTCATAAATAAATAAATTTAATTCAATTTTCAAGGACATATTTTTCAATAAGATATTTCTAATATTTATCCGAATAAATTAAAAAAAAAAAAAACTACGATGTGTTTAAGACAACGCGATAGATATGAAAACAAGGCGGGATTATTAATAATAAATTTTTTTTTTTGTTCCATGTTCATAAAGTAATAACATTTACAATGTGTGCGATTATAATGGTGTATAAATTAATCTACTTATTTAGTTTGTTGGTGCTGTCTTTTTCCATTTTCCAATTTCTAACTCGACGTCATGTCAAAATACAATTTTAAATTATAGTGAGTATCAAAGAGAATGAATGGAACGATGAACATTTATGTTAGTTACAGCATGCAGGTTTGATTTTTAGGTTCTGAAATATTTTAGTCCAAATGAAAAAAATAGTCTTGAATCAACTTTATCCAAATGGGGGTTACATGGCCGAGTCTCTTACACTGCTCAGTCTCATTCACTTCTCGAAGAATACAGTCCTAAGCGCTCCCAAAGAACTTTTCGCTCCAAAAACTACTTCTGGCTTAATCAGCGGTCTAATTTCACATACGGTCTTACGGCAATTATATCGAAGTGCGGCAAATCATCACTTTAATTTACACTTAGGAAGAAGCCCCAGCAATTATACTCTGCGGCGTGCATAACTCACATTGATGAGCGATGGGGACAATTATTTAAATCAGATTACGACAGGGAGACAATTGACAAATGAATATTCGGCGGTGGATTAGACGAAGAGGAGGGCGGCGTGCGGCGTGGCGGAGGGGAGCATTGATGGCTTCGACAAAGAGGAAATTTGAATACTCATCTTGTAATTTCCAGCCATCACGGATAAGGGCCTATTGTATTCACGGGCCGGTATTTGGGGCGTGTCCCATCCATAGGAGAGCCCTCACATATTGTCTATTCTTATAAACGTTCAATATTGTTCTCGGCGGAAGGATTATTAACAGGCGAGGATGAGAAATAGTGCAGTCCAATCGACGATCACGAGGAATTCGTGACCTAGTTCATCCCGCTAATGATAAATATTTCGAGGAATCAGGCATCCTTCCTAATCTCCATCATAGAATTAAGTAAAGACAACGCCTTAAGCTATTCAAATATTTTGAAGCGTTTAATATTTGGACTGAAGGACCGAAGAAAGATGAGTCAATGAGAAAATTTTTTCCCTAAAAAAAGACAATAATGTAGTCCGCTGTACAGAAACAATGTTTTAAATCAAATTTAATGAGAGTAGTGAGGGGAAAGGCAATGAAGGAATGACAGCATTTCTAATACTAGGAATGTGCCTCGAAGGGTAAGGACCAACACGCAGTTCATCCGAAGATAGCGTTCACTACATGGTTTGCAACAATTTCATCTCGACCGCCGTACCTAGTGAAGCTGACCGGGTTCAGAATTAACCATGGTAGAACAAATACATTACTACATGTAATGGGTCAAGGTAAGAATGGTTACTGCCGGACATGCCAATGCCTGGAGGATACAAGGCACATTGCCTTCCAATGCAAGAGGTTCGATAAACTAAGGAGAATTAGTTTTAGGGTCCCAAGCTGTTGATGATAGTATTAGGTGTCTTAGATCAACCAAAAAAGATAATGCTCGTAGATTAGGAAAAATCTTAAAGGAGATAAATGCACCTGTTTAAGTCCCTTAAGCTCTTTTGAGATCCATAAACTTTAAGGCTTAACTTCTGTAAGCCTATAAAACTATTAAATTATTATATTAGTTCCAATCAAAAGTACAAGTTAACATAGCCATTAAAAAATTTAAGACCATCGGTATAGAATTTTAAGATTTGATATAAACATTATAATTTTCATATAAAATATTTGTGTTTCGGAATCAATTTCAACAAGTAACTAGTAAAAACTTAAGAAGCATAGTAATATACTGGCAAAATAGGACTTGCTTTGACAAGACTTAAGGGAAAAAAAAGCATTGTGAATGTTTTAATCCTAACCAACAACCTTTTTATCAACAAAAATCCAAAGAAATAAGACATGATTGAGCCTACTATTGTGGCATTCTTTGTTGTATGGAGGATTCTTGATGGATTGCTCCGAGCTATGTATATTCCCCGCTCATCTTAACCTCCTTGCCTTTATATCGTGAAGTTCTTGAATTCCATCGAGCTAAAATTTTCTTGAATTTTTTTCTCCATGAAAGTTCACAATTAGCACGGACTAGCTATCTAGGAACCGACACTTTGATAAGACGAATGTGTCAGTACGTAACTTGAGGATTTCTGTTTTAAATGAATATAACCAACACAATAAATAAAGCTATAAATAGATTATACATTTGTTATACGTAAGCATTGAAACACTGTTTAAATAGTGGTAAAATAAATAATAGTCATTATAAAAACTTATTTGTTTTTAATTTTTCTATGTTCATTACTATTATTTATTTATTAAGATAAATCATTAAAATTGTTCATAATAGTAAATTTTATATTTGAATCAATGAAAAGATAAACAATGCATTTCACATTAACTTTCTCCTCGTGTCTATAGATGCATTAATCATGCGACAGTGACAATGTATGGCAAGAGTTGACCTCTTATTATAAGAATAGAGAGCAATAAAAATTCTTAAGGATTGGAAGCTTGCTTGCTACATTACCATTGGGAATTCATTCATTTATATGTCCACTATAAATGAAGCACTAGTTCCTAAATATATTTACTAAACAACAAAAAAACATTTACTATTTTGAAATGTTACATATAACAACAATAACAATTAACGATAAGATAAAAAATTAACTAATTCTCTCATGTAACTAAATTAATGTCTGACAGTTTGAAGACCAGAATCCAAATATTATTATATCACCCTCCAATACCATGTTATAGAACGATTCTGTACACTGACATTAAAGTACAAGGACGTAGTATGGCGATCTAGATGAAAACGATCAGTTTTCCAAACATATACTCCTACAGATGATTTATGATTCGAACCGTCAGTGTAACTGTGACGTATAATTTCGCACAGCGGTGACATCCCTGAAACTCGTTACATCACCTGATGCCGTGTCGGAGTTTAGAAGCACATCATTTATCTTAAAACGTCCCAGCGGTTGTTCATTATACATTAGCCAACGTTTATGTAATGTATTCCATTACTTAATGGGATGATAACAGCTCTAGTTAATTATTTATTTTTTTTAATTTATGTAATGGCGAACACATGTTCCTAGAAAGAGGAAAGAAAAGAGAGAAATACATTACATATGATACACATCAGTTCTCCTCACTGGAACTGGTTTACTTATTTGTTTGTGCTTCTTCAAGACCAAGAGCATTATTATAAGAAACAGAATATTAGATATTAAATTGACTGAATCAAATGCTAAACTAGAGTTAATTATTATGTGATATGCTGCTGATGATACATTACAAACACTTTTTCTAAGTATAAACTTCTATAGGCAAGTATTGCACTTTTTTTTTATAGAGAATAAATTAGATTGAGCCGTCAGATCTCCGATGTGTAACGGTCGGGTAAAGTCGGCTGGAGTCGACTAATTGAAGTGTTTTTGCATATGGATTAAAATATCTCAGAAACTAAAAATTGGACCTGCATGTTGTTGGCATGTAGTACACCTGGTATACTTCGAATCAAAGTATCTTACGATCAATTAAAGCAGAAAGCAAATGGGTATTTACGAGTTTTTAGTGCCTAATTAAACAGGCAAAGTTTTCCCCTCTCCAGATTGAAAACGCCCCAATTCCAAGAGTTTTCATAAATAAAATAGTTGTAGAACACGATGAGATGAAATTATTTACGAAGTTTCAGGCGGATATTAATAATTCGATAAAAAGATTATCACGGACTAATAGCATACTAATTAAATTTTTAATTGTTAAGAATGTTATTTAGAAGTTTAAAGATATTTAAAATTAAAATAAACATACCCTTACAGAGGGAGGTTTAGTATTTGACTGATCAAGTTAGGAGGACAAGGGCAATTCATTGTAATTGTTTTAAAAGTATAAATTGTTAATAATTGTAGGAAAAGTATGATTAGGTTGTAATATTTTTTTTTTATTTGTTAATGATTTCATCCTATGAAAATGGCCTAAGGGCTTAAACGCCAGTGTAAAAAATAAAATAAAGTAGGACCGTTGTGATCAATATGAATGTTTTTATTATTATAATAATGTGAAGTCCTGACCTACATGTATGAAAATATATATTTAATTAAAATGTGTCTGTAAAGCGTAAAGCATTTTTTCTTTTGTTTTTTATCTTAAAACTGTTGAATAGCATTATATCATGTCACAACAAGGACAATAGAAGCTTTAAACACCTAGATCTGATAAAGCTATGTAACCATCTTTAATCCAAAAGCCACTGTTCCTATCAATATCGTCCAATACAGCTAAAAAGCCTGGTAGGAAATGTCGGAAATCAGCGGATACATGCAATAAACAAAATACCAGAAAAAGATGCTTACTTCACCCTCAAAAAATTATTTTCCTCCTTACGCTGAGTGTACATGATTTATAAACAATCGGGAGAGAAAGCATAGGCAAACATCAATCTACACTTTAGTAAAAGCGAAACGAAACTGAGAAACCATTACCCAACCATTACTCCAAGCTTCGCTGTAGTTCGTTAGTGAAAATAAAGTTCTTCGGAAGGCCATGCATACGTCTCCAAAGTAGCAAGTCATGTAGACCGGACAGTTTTCAAACTGTCTTTAAATCTTTAACTTTCTACCTTTAGTACTTACGAACAAAATTACACTGTGGGAAAATAGTAGTTATTATAAAACACTTAAAACGAGCTGGAAACCTGTTTTAATTAATTGTACAGGCTCGTGCAACAGAAAATTTATAATTAATTTCATATCTTCGGTTTATTGCGAAAAAGTCATTGACATTTCATATACTTAAATCAATAAGAACAATGAATTTTCCTTTTGTGAAATCAAAATGTCATGAAAATCATTATAAATGAATTTGATTAATAAAAGAGTTTGTGTCATTTAGGTGGACTTTCTATGTTTTAGCATTGAAAACTATTTTTTTTTTCTTTTTATTGATTGATATTTACAACTGTATTATAAAAAAAAAAAAAAAATACATTTTGTAAATGGGCACTCAGGAATATTATAACATGAAATCGCTTGTTGAGAAACTACCCACTAGTAGAACTCAAATAATAAATTAACACAAGATCACGAGGCCAGCTTCTTTTAGACGCCTCGGATAGTTATCAGGGATCGAGGAGGAAGTAAGGTTCAAAAAGAGAGGGTTCGGATGGTTCTGAAGTTTGTTATGGAAGGATAGGTATCTGGATTGGGCCAAATCGGAAACATATGGAACATTAAGGTCATTATGGGTGATTTTATTTGTGACAAAGGAAAGAGCGTTGAGGATTTTGGATTGTAAGGATTGAATACTAAAGGAATTCGATGGTTTAGTGGAGCCCCAAAGCTCAATTTCGTAAATCCAAATAGGTCTTATTATTGTCATATATATGAGTCTTTTGTAAGTCAGTGGAAGTTTAGAGCGTTTCGCTAGTGAGTGCTGGAGTAGTCGAAAACGTCGAGTGTCCAGTTCCAAGTGAGTCGTTTGTCCAGGTGAAGTCCTAGGTATCGGATTTGTTCAACAAAGATAAGTGGGGTATTGTTAAAGGATACATTAGGGCAGAAAGTCATAGGTTTGTGACGGAGGGTAAAGGTAATTTGATGGGATTTACTGGAGTTTATTTTAATCCTCTAGTTATGACGCGATTCTCAAGACTTGTGATGTGTAATTGGAGAGTTTGGGATGCAATTGATGGATCGTTGTTAATTGATAGGATACCTCCGTAGGCCACCTTTTTGATCAATTTATCTTATGATCCAAGAAGAAAGCAAATGTGTAATTACGAGTTTTTACTACTAATCAACGTATCTTACGATCAATTATAGCAGAAAGCAAATGGGTATCTACGAGTTTTAAGTACCTAATTAAATAGACAAAGCTTGCCCCTCTCCAGATTGAAAACGCCCCCATTCCAAGAGTTTTCGTAAATAAAAGAGTTGTAGGTTACGATGAGATAAAACTATTTACGAAGTTTCAGGTAGATGTTAATAATTTG